TCAAAGGCAAGAATTGAGTGAATGGAATTAGATCCTCCTTCTAATTCTCTTGTGGTTTTCAATCTCGGCTTTCGACTTGTGCACTTACATATAATTTATTTTCAACATCTTTACTACCCATGTCAGCTCCCTTGGGTTCGATACCGGAGTTACCAGCACGTTCATGCCGAGAAATAAAAGCTAGCGAAGGAAAAAACATTGCAAGCAACAAATACTGGCTGGATCCATCTGGCACAGGGAAGGCAGTTTTGGTTTACTGTGATATGAATTGGGAAGGTAAATCATCATTACGTCACTGTTAGTTTCACTTTCTGTTTGAACTGTAGATTCTTTCAATTGCGTCCCTGTTTCTTTAAGATATTAGTAATTACTACAGTCCTGAAACCATGCCATTGCATAGTTTCGGATTTATATATTCAATTTTTTTCATAAAAAAGCCAAATAGGGCAAAAATACACACATAGGGACACGCCTAAACCAAAATTCACTTTGATAAAACTTTGATCAAGATTCTTACTTCAATATTTTAGTTATAAAGTAATTGTATAATTTGTTCAGAGACAATTGAATCTTATTCTACATGTCAAGCAAGACTATTTTTCTGCTAAATTAATCGGGGTGGGTTCCCATTACTGTACATGTAAGGAGGGATACCTTGGCGATGGACGCTCGTTTTCAGGTACATTGCCATTAATTTAGGCGATGTTCATGCGAATATCTTGATAGCTTATGTTTTCGGCTTACTGAGAGAGCAGTCAAATGACTTATCGAAATGATATGCATTCATTTTGTTGGGGGATGGGAGGGAAAAGAGGGAGTGTAATAAGTTTGGCAACAACTAAGAAATGTTTTGCGACAACTAAGAAGTGTTTTGTGACTACTAAGAAGTGTTAAGCGACAACTAGGAAGTGTTTCGCGACAACTAAGAAGTGTTTTGCGACAGCTAAGAAGTGTTTTGCGACAACTAAGAAGTGTTTTGCGACAACTAAGAAATGTTTTGCGACAACTTAGATGTATTTTTCGACAACTAAAAAGAGTTTGGCAACAACTAAGAAATGTTTTGTGACAACTTAGATGTATTTTGCGACAACTAAAAAGAGTTTGGCAACAACTAAGAAGTGTTTTGTGACAACTAAGAAGTGTTTTGCGACAACTAAGAAGTGTTTCGCGACAACTAAGAAATGTTTTGCGACAACTTAGATGTATTTTGCGACAACTAAAAAGAGTTTGGCAACAACTAAGAAATGTTTTGTGACATCTTAGATGTATTTTGCGACAACTAAAAAGAGTTTGGCATTAACTAAGAGTGTTTTGTGACATCTAAGAAGTGGTTTTGTGACAACTGATTGCAACAACTAAGGAGGGTTTGGCGATGACTGAGGAGAGTTTGGCGATGACTGAGGAGAGTTTGGCGAAAGGTAAGAAGGGTTTGGCGATAACTAGGAAATGAGACAACTAACTGCGACAACTAAGGAGGGTTTGGCGACGAATAAGGGTTTGGCGACAGGTAAGAAGGGTTCGGTAACAACTGAGCAGAGTTTGGCAACAATTAAGGAGGGTTTCGTCACAACTGAAGGCAGGTTCCAAATCAATCGAGAAAGACTGTTTAAAGAAACAGTCTACCTACTCGCCGTCCATAACTTCCTCAGTATACACCGTTGCATCCACAAAATAAGCATGGTACCCACGCACGCTTGCCTGAACATAGAATTCGTATCCATCTGCCATTTTATAGTTTGATTTGTGCAGAAAGTTGACTTTCCTAAAGAGGTATTCAAGATGGAAGCTTTACTTTCCCTAATTTTCAAGAAAACGGTTGTACAGCCAAACAGTTATTGTCTCTAGGACAATAGACGCACAAGGTGTTATGGGATACATTACTGCATTGACTTTTGTGTTCCTCAATTTTGATGAATTGTGGAAGATGAATCCTACTTTATTCGAATGTGGTTTACGAAAATCAGTAGAGTTGAAGGATGGCAGAGTGTACGTCATTACGTCGACATTGGAAAAGACAGTTAAACTGAGCAGCGCCAAAGTTAAATGCAAACACTGCGACAGATGGTTCAAAGTTTAACAAAATCTGGACAGCTGCGTACAATTCAAGCACCCGGCCTCTGCCACACAGAACTCGAACAGCATCAGCTC